TCTTATCTGTCAGTCTTATTGTCTTTTTTTTTTTTTAACTAATATTCAGGATTTTTAGTTGTACTTACCAAGAGGAGTAGGGATAAGTGTTCTTTTTTCAAAACTTTACAAATTTACATCAGTTCTTCTGTTGCCTTAGAAGTAGGAATTTCTAATATTTGTTTTATTTTCTTACCTTAGGCTACTTATACTCAAATTTACCAGGGACCTTCTAGGGCTGCTTCTGCCCATTTATTTGGTGAAGTGGCTCCTCCAGTGCTCCCGTGTGTCCTAATGGAAGCATATTAATGTTTTAAAATCATTGTGCACTCAGGCCTTCACCCTTCATGTATGCTGTTAGCTGCTGCCCTTCCTTCTACTCATTCCCAACTCTTGGGGAGGCAAGTCAACAAATATTTGTCTTAAGTAGTTTTTGCAAGATAATCTGTTGAACGCTTTATGGGGAAACCTGTCTTCTCCACCAGACTAGGCTGGAAACTGAGTAATGATAACAAATGAACTGGGAGAACGTGTGTGTGTGTGTGTGTGTGTGTGTGTAGACATAGGTTACAAAATTCTGTAGGACAGGAGAGAACAACCCAAATCTGTGTGGCGTTTGGTTGTACATATTCCTGCCCTTACTCCTCTTACTGCCAGTTTTGCTGCTTGCTGGCTTTGGAATTAGGACTCGGCTACGTCAAGGCTGACGTCTTCAGCTGGGCTCTCAGTTGGCATTCAGTCAGAACCCACCTCGTCTTTCCATGCCTTTCCTGCCCTTCCCAGGAACTGCTCCCATCAGAGCAGGCTTGCTGCCATCCCACAAATAAGCCCTGTGTTCCTGCCTGTGTCTGTACCACGCCATTCCTCCTGGCATGCATGTCCTCTGCTCTGCATGGTCGACACGAAGGGCAGTGTAATGGGAAGAGTGGATGCTTTCAGGGTAGATCCCAGTTTTCCTTCTTGCTGTGTGACTTAGGGTAAGTCACTGTGACCCACTCCTGTTTGTGAACATGGAAAAGTACTTCTTTTCTCACAGGATGTACTAAGTTTAGTTAATGTATGTGAATGTTGCTGAAGCCACAGGAATTCAAATAAAATTTGGGTTCCATTGCTTTGTTTCCTTAATTAAAATGTAAGGCAAAGGGTTCACTTCTAGTCTTTGTCTCATCGGCAGTACACAGTATGTTAAGAACATGGAAAAAACTGGGGCACCTGGGTGGCTCAGTGGGTTAAGCCGCTGCCTTCGGCTCAGGTCATGATCTCAGGGTCCTGCGATTGAGCCCCGCATCGGGCTCTCTGCTCAGCAGGAAGCCTGTTTCCCTTCCTCTCTCTCTGCCTGCCTCTCTGCCTACTTGTGATCTCTCTCTGTCAAATAAATAAATAAAATCTTTAAAAAAAAAAAAAAAAAGAACATGGAAAAAACTAATTAGTTCATTAAGTAAATGTTTGAGTACCTCCTGTAATGCCTGTGTTGTGTTAAATGCTGGAACTTACAAATTTGCTGGACAGAACAGATGGGTGCCCAGGCAATTAAAACAGCACAGGGCTTGCCGTGCCGGAGGTGTGTTTCGGAGATTTTGGGAGCATGGAAAAGGAGTGATGAGGGAGGATTCCTGGATAAAATGTTGCTGGTAATTGTTCCTTTTTTTTTTTTTTTTTAAAGAACAGCTTTATTTAGGTATAATTTACATATCATAAGATCTGCCCACTTTAAGTGTGTAATTCAGTGATTTTTAGTAAATCAACCAGTTTGTTGTAACCTTTACCACCATCCAAATCTAGGCTGTTTCCATCACTTCAAAAAGATTCTTCATACCCATTTTTAGGCATCATGGTGACGGATAAGTGTGCATTGGCCATGCAGAAGTGCGGGCAGGAGGGCGGGCTCCTCTGCAATGAAGACAATGTGCACAAAGCCAGGGGAGCATAAGACAAAATGGCTCAGTGTGGAAGGAATGCCTATTAGCAGGTTTATTTCTGTAGTTTACAGCTGTGCTCTTCCTGGCAGCTGTGTTCTGGCTTCCCTGGTCCTTGGAGCTTAGTTTCCTCACCTGTAATGTGTAACTGTTAGGCTGCTGGGCTCTAGCTCTGCCTAAACTCTCAAATCCTGTGATCGTCAACACTTGTGATACCTTTGGGGGGCCTGGATGGCTCAGTGGGTTAGGCCTCTGCCTTCAGCTCAGGTCATGATCTCAGGGTCCTGGGATGGAGCCCCGCATCGGGCTCTCTGCTTGGCGGGGAGCCTGCTTCCCTTCCTCTCTCTTTGCCTGCCTCTCTGCCTACTTGTGATCTCTCCTTGCTGTCCAATAAATAAGTAAAATCTTAAAAAGCAAACAAACAAACTTACGATGCCTTTGGTTGAAAAGAAAACCTGTTCTTCTAAAAAAAAAAAAAGCCAAACAAAAACAAAATTAGAGTAATGCTTACAGATCCTTTAATGGAACTTTCTGCTCTTTTTTATGTTTTCCTGATTATGTGAGCAATAGTGCATCGTGGGTAGAAAAATTGTGAAATGCAGGAAGATAGGAAGAAAACATAGGTCACCTATGATCTTATCATTCAGAGATAATTGTTATTAACATTCTCTTGTTCTTATGAGTTTTTTTTTTTTTTTTTTTTTTTTTTTAAAAAAAAGAGAATGTGCATGTGCGTGAGCAGGAAGAGGGAGAGAGAATCCCAAACAGGCTAGGCATCCAGTGCAGAGCCTGACCCAGGGCTTGATCTCTCAACACTGAGATCATGACCTGACCCATCAGACGCTTAACCGACTGAGCCACCCAGGCACCCCTGTTTTTACGAATTTTTTTTTTACATTATGTTTATATACTTCAGTATTGATATTGTGCTGTAAAGTTGTTTTCCCCCACATTATTAAATAGTATTAAAAATGTGATTTTAAATACTGCATGATTTTTATGAAATTAAAAAAACACGGCCTGTGCATTTTTTAAAACAACCATAGTAATAAAAATAATAAAAGAACACAGTAAGTTTCAGACTATGTAGAAGGAATTAAAAAAAAAATCTCTCTTCCTCCTGTTGTTACCATTTCAGGAGTTAACAGTAGTTAACTGTTTCTTTAATGCTTTCATAAATTGTATGTATTAATTTGTATTCCATTATGTGGATAAGTCATAATTTAACTGATCTTTTATAGATAGCCATTAAGATCATTACGTTTTTGCTTTTACAGTGTTGAAGTAAATATTTTCAGGTGCATGTCTTTGAATTCTTGTAAAAGTATATCAGGAGGATTCCTAAAAAGAATGAGTGGATCAGAGAGTACATTTTGTATTTTGGTATATATTGCCAAATTGCATTTCAAAAAAGACTGCTAATTTATACTTATATTATTAGTAGATATTCTCATGAGTCCCTCTCTGTTTGTATCTTTACAAATATTTGGTATTATATACTATTTTGTTCTTTACAGTCTGATGTTAGAAAATTGGTAACTTACTGTTTTATTTTATGGTTTAAAAATGAGAATTGTACTTGGGGGTCCCTGGCTGGCTCAGTGGCTTAAGCCTCTGCCTTCAAGCTTAGGTCATGTTCTCAGGGTCCTGGGATGGAGCTCCACATCGGGCTCTCTGCTCATCAGGGAATCTGCTCCCCCCCCCCCCCCCCCTGCTGCCTGCCTCTTTGCCTACTTGTGATCTCTCTCTCTCTTTCTCTCTCTGTCAAATAAATAAATAAATAAATAATCAATCTTTTAAAAAATTAGAATTGTACTTGAACATTATTTTCTTATGATATTAGTCATTTTTCTATGAGTTACATCATATCCTTTGTGTAGGTATCTTGATTTGTTCATATTTTTATTGATTTGTAAGAACTCTTTGCAGTTTAAAGAACTTAGCTGTTGCAAATTGCAATTTAAAAAAAATTTTTTTTTCTTATATTTGCTTGTCTTGACTGTGTTCATGGTCAGAAAAGGTCTTGTCGGGGCGCCTGGGTGGCTCAGTGGGTTAAAGCCTCTGCCTTCAGCTCAGGTCATGATCTCAGGGTCCTGGGATCGAGCCCAACATCGGGCTTTCTGCTCAGCGGGGAGCCTGCTTCCCTTTCTCTCTCTCTGCCTGCCTCTTTGCTTACTTGTGATCTGTCTGTCAAATAAATAAATAAAATCTTTAAAAAAAATTAAAAAAAAATCAATTAAAAAAAAAAGAAAAGGTCTTGTCATTTAGGGCTTGTGGATTTTTTAGATTGCAAAATAACCTTAAAAGTAACTGCAAAGAGAAACAAGTGATCCTAATAGTTTTCCAAATGAATATCATAAGTATATTAATGAGGAATAAGAACTAATCCAAGTAACTTTTGAAACTGTATGTGGACTGTAACCTCTAAGGAAGAAAAAGTGAACAAATCTTGAGTTCTTACTGTGTTTGTCCTTTGTAGTGTCCATTCTAGTGAATCTATTTTGTTTGTATTTTAGGATTGAGCAATAAGGGCTCCCTTGTTGCTTTCAACAAAATTGCAGTACAAAATAAAATAGTTATTATCAACACAGAAATGACTTAATATCATGCAATATAGAATTTAAGCATCTGTTATTGTGTGAATCATCAAATATATCACTACAGCTATTGTAAATTTTAATAATGATTCTGAACTATTCATGCATAGCTATATAAGTTGTTTTTATAATTTATTATTTATAGTTGTTTGTTCATAACCTTAAAGAAAATAGTAAGATTTATGTAGCCACCAAAATGAAACCCCTTACAATGGGGGACTTCTTTGTAAAAGAAACTCTGTATACTACTTTGAGAACTCTGATTTTCATTTGGTTTATTTTTCTAGTACTTAAGCTAGGTGGTGCTTTCTACAAAAGCTCTTTGAGGATTGAAATGTTTGATGAATGGAATATAACTTGAGATGATAAAATGAATGAATATTTCTAAAGAGGGGTCATGAAGAGAAATATTTTTGATTTGTAATGCAAGATTACTCACCATGTTTTGTGTGTGTTTGGTGCTTTTGTGTTTTGGTTGGTGTTGATGACCTTTTTCCCTTATGTGCAGGTGTAATGGATAGGTAACAGAGAAACCCTCTTCACTGTCTCATCAGGGAGGCAGAATGACTGAGTGCTTCCTGCCCCCCACCAGCAGCCCCAGTGAACACCGCAGGGTGGAGCATGGCAGTGGTCTTACCCGAACCCCCAGCTCTGAGGAGATCAGCCCTACTAAGTTCCCTGGATTGTACCGCACCGGCGAGCCCTCGCCTCCCCATGACAGCCTCCATGAACCTCCTGACATAGTATCTGATGATGAGAAAGACCATGGGAAGAAAAAAGGAAAATTTAAGAAAAAAGAAAAAAGGAGTAAGTGCCATTTTTCTCTATGCTTTTGATATGTTTTAGATAAACTCTTACTCTGATCCCTTACCTGCTGTCTTCTGGAATATGTCCAAAGACTCTTGTTTGACATTCTCTGTTCTTTACTTTTCTGGGTCTCAATTTTTGTATATTAGAGTTGTATTTTAGGGTCCTATTCTTGTGAATAAAAATACCAAGTTTCCACAAATGGTAAAGTTTTTTGGTAGAAGTTTCTTATATTGGTTATTTTAAATAATGTATAAGAAGTAGATATTGGAATTTTACTTTACTTTCTTGGCTAGGTTGTGTAAGCCATTTGGGGTACTACACTTCATTGGAACTGTGAAAAAAGTAGTTATTTGTTTGTCTTAAGCAAATACCATAATGCATTCTATTTATAGTTCCTATTCAGTAGGAAAGGTGGGTTGTTTAAGCATAGCTCTTTAGTATGTTAAAAGCAGATCAGTTGAGTTATTTCAAGTATTGCTTTATTTTGAATTTTATGGTATTTTTAAGTTAATTTGTTTTTTGAAGCATAACACTGAGGTAGAATGGACACATTGTGTATAACTTGAATGAGATATCGCAAAATGGATATATGTCCTTGTAATTAGAAGCATTTGGAAATAGAGTCTTATCAGCACCCTAGAAATTCCCTTCCATTATCCCTTCAAAGGGAATCCCCCACCCTTCCCAGAGGTAAAGCTTCTTTCAATATAGCTTGAAACTGCCTGATTTTGAATTTATAAAAATTAAGCATATTTCCTTTTGCATCTAGTTTCTTCTGCCCAGAGTTACATCTGTTAGAGTCATCCATGTTGTTTAACGTGACAGTAATTAGTTCATTTTTTATTGCCTGATTTTGTTTCGTTGCATTAATATACTAGAATGTACTCTGCTGTTATTGGTCATTTGGTTGTTTGCCTTCTTTGACTCATGAATAGGGCTTCTGTGAGTGTCACAGGTGTTTATACATTTCTGTTGTGTGTGCCTGCGATTGGAGTTCCTCTCTTATAGGCCATGCTCATTTTAGCAGTAGTAGATCATGCAAAAACAGTTTTCCAAAGTGGTTGTACCAGTTTACACTCACACCAGCATTGTCTGAGAACTGCATTGGCTTTATATCATGGTATCATGCCCTCCATGTTCCCGCCCTTCTGATTGTAGTATTTTAAATAGAGTGTCATTTGTGAAATAGTTTTTTATCTTTGTTATGAAATAGCTTTTAAGGCAGCTGGCTAAAGAAAAGAATAGGAGAATTATATTTGGAGGCAACAAAACCAAGCTAGGATAGTTCTAATATGATACAAAGCGTCAGTGTGGAAACCAGGGCTCGTGATGCTGGGAAATGGGTGGATGCATCGGCCACCACCCAGAGGCGAGGGAATCTCCTGGCTCTGTCCTTCATCCACCTGAGGCTTCAGTCCCTGCTCCAGTCTCCAGAAGGAACTTAACAAGATAGTGACAGGAGGGTGGGGTGTGATAGGGGAAGTACCAGAGCCTCCAAACACCAGTGCCATTTGTGTCATGGTGTCAGACTGCTTCAAATTACAGGGACCAAATGTGTGAAAAAAATCTAAAGTAAGTACGAGCACATTGTCAGATGATGAGAAAAAGCTCTATTATATTATATTTCATTAGCCCTCTCTGTAGATCCTTTGTTGTGTATTCATAATACTTGGTTTGCCAAAACTCTACCTAAAACCAGTCGTAAAGGTAACTGGTCCTCTGCATTTCCCTCTCTTGTGGTCAGGAGATGTCACTGCCTCATCTCCTTTGACCCGAGAAGAAACCTGTTTCATTACTGGCAGTACCCAGGAGGCACTGGCCAGGAGTGAAAAGCGAGGTAGCCAGTGCCCGGTAGCACTTTTTTTTAGGTCCTGTTTTTAGGAAGTTTATGGCCGGGTTGACATTAAAAGATAGATGACTTCTATTTCCTGTACTTCGTCGGCAGCTGAAGGCTATGCTGCCTTTCAGGAAGATAGCTCTGGAGATGAAGCTGAAAGTCCTTCCAAAATGAAAAGGTCCAAGGGAATCCATGTTTTTAAGAAGCCCAGCTTTTCTAAAAAGAAAGAGAAGGATTTTAAAATAAAAGAGAAACCCAAAGAGGAAAAACATAAAGAAGAAAAGCACAAAGAAGAGAAACATAAAGAGAAGAAGTCGAAAGACTTGACAGCAGCTGATGTTGTTAAACAGTGGAAGGAAAAGAAGAAAAAGAAGAAGCCAATTCAGGAGCCAGAGGTGCCTCAGATGGATGTCCCCAATCTCAAGCCCATTTTCGGAGTTCCCCTGACTGATGCAGCTGAGCGGACCATGATGTACGACGGCATCCGGCTGCCGGCGGTGTTCCGCGAGTGCGTGGATTATGTGGAGAAGTACGGCATGAAGTGTGAAGGCATCTACAGAGTGTCAGGTACTGGGGACATGCACTCCTCTTGGGTGGTCTGAAAATTCACTTCTGTTTTTCACAGGAAGGAGAATGATCGACTTGTGAGGAAAATTGTGGCATGGGTCCTAAGTCTTGTCCATTTCCTCCATCCTTCCAGTTGAGCTGAAATCCCCCGCAGCTTGTGTGTGTGTGTGTCCACAGTTTGCTTTTCTGTGATATTCCCTTCCCTTAGGAGGCTTTCCACACTAGTTTTCACAGTTGGGAGCAGCCCCCTGAGTCAAAGCAAAGCATCTGAGTAGCGTCCCTTCCCTCTGGTGTGCTCAGACTGTGCTTTATTCTTCCCGCCTCCTTCCTCTCTGAGCAGGGCTCAGTGTTGTGAGGGAGATGAGCAGGACAAGGAAGGGTATCTGGGTGAACAATGCGTCTTGGCCACGACACACTTTTTTAAAACGACTGTTTATTTATTTATTTGACAGAGATCACAAAGACAGAGAGGCAGGCAGAGAGAGAGGTAGGGAAGCAGGCTCCCCGCTGAGCAGAGAGCCCGATGCGGGACTCAATCCCAGGACCCTCAGATCATGACCTGAACTGAAGGCAGAGTGCTTTAACCCACTGAGCTGCCCATGCGCCCCCCCGCGAGACACTTTTATTAACATAATCCTCTTCCCTGAGTTTGGCTAAGGGACATACAAATGTTACTTGCTTAATGTTTAGGCCCAAATGTGAATGCTTTTGTCAGCTGCGTGCAGCTGTTCCATAGATGAGTAAAATTGATTTTCCATCTATGTATGTTCCCTATCTGTGAAAATTAAAATTTCACGTTTGGCAAGAATAGAATTCATTCAGGTGTCTAAAATCAAGCACAATGTATATCATTGTACTGTTTAAAGGAAAAAGATTCTGTTTCTTACAAAGTAGTAGGACTTTTGAACTATATAGGGTAGAAGTCTGTCCTGCCTGTGGCAACATCTGTCCTCCAGATCATCGCCTTCCTGTGATTCAGTTTCTTAATACTGAGATCTGTTTTATAAAAACTTGTTGGTCACACATTTTCATTATGAATCAAATCATACACATTTAGAATATATAGAGAGACTCTTGAGTTTTTCCATTTATTTGGCTCATACACATTTTTAGAGGGCAGGTTTGATATATATATATATACGTATTTTTTTTTCTTTTTTTGGGAAGGGACAGGCACCTTTGGTATTTGGGGAACCCTTTACCTAGTCCCCTAGATAGCATGTCATTGTTTAAGAGTATTCTAGCTAACATGTTAACCATTTTCTAGAAAATAAAATCCACAAGTTAGGCATTGAATTTGAATTTATAAATCTTTAGTAACATGAAAATAAACACATTTAAATGAATTTGAAAATTTGGCTTTTATTTTGTTTTTTTTTTTTAGGATTTTATTTATTTATTTGACAGAAAGAGCACAGGTAGGCAGAGCAGTAAGCAGAGGGAGAGGGAGAAGCAGGCTCTCCACTGAGTAGGGAGCCTGATGTGGTGCTCGATCTCAGGACCTTGGGATCATGACCAGAACTGAAGGCAGCTGCTTAATGGGCTGAGCCACCCAGGAGCCCCCCAGAATTTGACTTTTAAAGCTAAGTAATGATGAAAAAAAACTCCTCACTAATGATTAATTGATTTGTAAAGATTTAAACAGTACTGACATAGCTGCTTCTCTCACATGAGTTTGATAGGCAGAAAGGAATTTTGTTGGAGGTGAAAGTTTCTCTGAAGAGTTTCTACAGCTTTGTTCAACGGATTCTTTTGTTTTTGACCTATTTTTGATGTTTGCATTATTTTGGAGAGTCAGAGTTGCAGAACTCCTCTCTTTGTGTGTCAGAGCGTTCAAATGGAGCTGTTCCCCTGATCATTGACTCCTGGAGGCTGAACTTCTGCTTTGATCAATTTTTTATTATTTTTTAAGCTCTGACAGTGTGTTGCATTCTGGATTAGTTTATGGCTGTGACTTTTCTTTCTTTGAGTGCCCATAACAATACTCTTTTCTGCTGGAGATTTTTGGCTCTTATTCATATGTAAATTCCAGTTTTAGAACAAATATATGTCATTTTGGACATGCTCTTTCTTTACCTAGGATGTTCTATTTGAAGTGTCCAATTCTTAAAAAGAAAACATTTTGATAATTTCAGAGTAACAGCAAACCAGACACATATTTTAGTTGTTTACTTGTGCAGTTTTCTGGATAGGCAGATGGGGGAGAAAAATTAGATACATATAAATAGAGAGAGGAGGACTTTGCTAAGGATATTACTTGAAGTTGTCACTCAAGAAAAAGGGAATTATTGAGGCAGGGAGGTGGCTTAGGCAGTTAAGCATCCAACTCTCGATTTCGGTTCAGGTTGTGATCTCAGAGTTATGGGATTGACCTCCATGTCAGGCTTCACACTCGTCACCAAGTCTGCTTATCCCTCTCCCTCTGCTCCTCCCCTCCTCCAATAAATAAATAAGATCTTTAAAAAAAAAAAAAAAAGAATTATTTTCTTTTTCAAAATGACCATTATATAAAAATAAGCTTTGTCTTCTTACTTTCATACTTAGAGTTATCGATTTTGTCAGTGCTGGATAAGTTGCATACTTATTGTAAAGGAAGGTTTTCACATAAGATAAGGAATGTCAAAGCCTGGATGGAAGCATTATTGATTATAAAATGCTGTTCAGATTAGATGACACTGGAGTATTTGCATCGACCATTACAGTCTCTTGGCCTTAATCTGTGGCTTGTTTCAAGTAATTGGCCTAAAATTTTGAGTATTAAACACAACAGAAAGCTACCTTGTACTTTTATGAATCCATATCACTTAAATGCAGATTGGCCTAAGGACTTAAAAACTTACAAAATGTTTGAAAAATAGTCATTTTGTGTGTCAGCATTTCTTTCTGTCCCCTAAGAAAAGCAAAACAATTTGATTTTAGAAACCCAAGTTTCACTCTTTTTGGTTCCAGCTGTGTTTCAGATTAAGGAAACAACAATTGAAACTTAAAAATAGAAATCAGATGGGGATTATTTAATGGACAAGATTTTTCAGAGTGTGTTTTGACAGCAAACCCACCTTTTGCATTTATCATATGTTTGCTTATAAAAAAGTAATTATTCACAACTTTTTGGACACATTTATAAATACTGAGTTGTGTTTTATGTTGTCAGTCTTGTAACTTGTTAGAAAAGGCAGTTGGCCACTCATGTGGAGCAAGATTTATGCTTGGATTGTAGTTGAATGTTTGCCTGAATTTTTACCTACCTAGATTTAAACTAAAAAAAAAAAACAAAAAAAACATTGCCCCCCGAGTCACTTGGCATGTTTTGAAACTTAAGATATTCTGTGATTGCTCTCATGTTTTTTTCCTAAGTATTGAGTTTCCATTATTTAGCTTTAGGTTGAATTCACCCACACAGTGTGGTCTTTCGTATTACTTTCTTCGTAGAGGAATTGTGCACACCTTGAGCGGATAAATACTTCATAACTAGAGGTTTGTTATTGTCAGATTGGCTCTCCCCAGATCTCCCCCGAGGAGTGGGTGCTGTGCTGAAAAAAGCTGTGTTTGATTATTTATATTTTCTTGATACTCTTTCTCTTTGGAATTTGAATGTTTTTAGGAATTAAATCAAAGGTGGATGAACTGAAAGCGGCCTATGACAGAGAGGAGTCTCCCAATTTGGAAGAGTATGAACCTAACACTGTAGCCAGTTTGTTGAAGCAGTATTTGCGAGACCTTCCGGAGAATCTGCTTACCAAAGAGCTGATGCCTCGCTTTGAGGAGGCATGTGGGAGGAGTACAGAGAGCGAGAAGGTGCAGGAATTCCAGCGCTTGCTCAAAGAACTGCCAGAATGTAACTATCTCCTGATTTCTTGGCTGATCGTGCACATGGACCATGTTATCGCAAAGGAACTGGAAACAAAAATGAATATACAGAACATTTCTATAGTGCTCAGCCCAACGGTTCAGGTACATGGCCTTCTCTGCGCACGTGCCCTCTGACGCTGACCCTGGGGAGTGTCAGAGACATTTTCTTTTGCTGGGTCGCACACAGAACAGTTAACCAGCAAATGTAGATGGTAGATTAGCCTGAGTATCGGTCTTTTTCTTTCAGGATATGGACAGTGTCATCATATGACCGGCGTGTAGCTTTGTAATTTGAGTATTGTACAGTCTTTGGTGTGGGTTTCTAAACCAGTTTCTGATGACAGTGATCCGTCATGAGTGGAGGGAAGCCCATGGTACCCATGATTACAGAGTTCATCTGTAGAATTTCAAAGATTTATTTTTTCGAATAGCACTATTGCCTCATTATATCATGTCCACATATCAGACTCAGGCACAAGGGGGCCTAACATCATTTGTTCGTTAAGTCAGGGACTTAACCTGGTGATTTCATTCATAAAGATAGATCCTAGGGAAGGATGTTACAGAAATTTAATCTGAGGAGGCATTTCAGGGAACTGGGTAGTGTGTTAATTGGTGTCTCTTTACAACATAAATATTTGGCATTTGTTTATTGCTCCTCACTTGGTGCTGGCACAGAACATATATTTTCCTTTAATTAGAATTATTGATATTTTATTGAGGCCAGACACAAAAGACAAAAAAAATGGAGTGATGGTTGTATTTTTATTTTAAGCTCTCTTTTTGGCCAATATACTAGGTTATTATCAACCACTGTTATAATGCACAGTTGTAAGAGGGTATTTTCATACACTTTTCATTGTTCATTGATTGTGTTTAGGAGGTAAAATGTTTCTCAGATTTCAGTTTGATCATTCAGACTAGTCAGGCTTGCAGAATTTGGTAAATATACATTGTTACTTGATATTACTATATTGGGGACAATTATTTCATAGAAGGTTCAAGTGTATTGTAAGTGTTAGGTAGAAAATAATTAATGTCCTGATCTAGCATATGAGCATCATATTTAAACGCTAGCTGTGCACATCTGCCCCCAAGGCATCGTTTCTGGAGTCAGGGTTCTTGCACGCAGCCCAGCTTGACACCTGCAAGTGCTCTTACTTTCTTCATGTTCCTCAATGGATCTACTTGTGTGTGTTAAAAGGTCTCAGAATAACTTGAGAATAAAGAACATAAGATTTTTTAAATCAGTTAATATTATATTGCTTAAAAAGAGCAAATTGATGGCCAGTGACTTCTGCATCCTTTCTCCTGTCCTTTTACCCCACCCTTTTACGGTGCTGGAATACCCCACTGAACTCCTGCTGCTTTTCCATTCTTTTCTTTCAGTTGGCCATTGATTAGCAAAGCATATCTGGTCACTACTGAGGAAAACTGTCATCCCCATGTCTAGGATTAAAGGATATACTATGCAACAGACACAAATTAAATGAAATAAAATGATAATTTGAATAGGTCTTTTTTTTTTTTTGCAAATCTTTTTATTTATTTTTTCTTAGATTAGCAATCGTGTCCTATATGTGTTTTTCACACATGTGCAAGAGCTCTTTGGAAATGTGATACTAAAGCAAGTGACAAAACCTCTTCGATGGTCTAACATGGCCACTATGCCCACACTGCCAGAGACCCAGGAGAACATCAAGGAGGAGATCAGAAGACAGGTGTGTGTGCTCAGCCCCACGCTTCAGTCCCAAAGAGCCTCCCTTTGCTCTGACTGTTTTGGATGATTACGATGATTTGTAGTGATGATTAGTAGGAGCAGTTCTTGTTCACTGAGCATTTATGTGTGTCTGGACCTATGTTAGACACATTGTTCATGGCACATGGAAGGCAGAAATTTCTGTCTGGCACTTTCATGCCAGTGAAGTGAGAATATTGTATAAAGAACACAGTTTTGAAATCAAAAGACCTGGCCTTAAGTTCTCCCTAGGTTCTCTTAGTGGACTGATTTTTAGGCAGATTGCTCAAACTCTGTAAGCCATTGGTGATCCCATTTTAAAATGGGTCATTTTGTGGTTTGATATGAAGCTTATTACCATAAATGAGATAATGCTGCCAGGCATGTTGTAAGGAGTCCAAAAATGTTAGCTTATCTGGACAAGGTTGCTGTTACCAGCCATATTTTACAGATACAAAGAAATTTGGGGAAACTAAATATCTGGCCCTGTGCCACATGGTTACTGAACTATAGAACCGGGATTTGACCCAAATCCTGTGCTTTTCCACTGTGCTACTTTGATAGAAGACATAGTTCATTTGGTTGTGTGTGTGTTTAGCAAAACTGATTAAGAAATTCAAGACTGAGAAATCTACTTATATTTGATGATTATTAGGTCTTTTATTTGCATACACGTTATCAAATTCCTATTTGATTTTCTTTCCTTTATCTACTTTGAGCTCCCATTATTAGTTGCTGATAGGAAGGGATATGAACGAACTGTTAGTCAACCAATGTAAATTAATGATGAGAACCTAATGTCCAGGCAAAAAAGGATTTTTCAGTCATATGCTTGAAAAAATAATTCATGCCTTTACTTCGTTCCCTTAGTGATAAATGAAAGATAGTTGGTTGTACATCTTGAGAAATTGCATGTGGATGTGGTTTTAAGATGATAAGACACGGGACACTACTCAGTGTGTGGCATGTTGTCTTCTAGGAGTTTCTTTTGAATTGTTTACATCGAGATCTGCAGGCTGGGGTAAAGGATTTATCTAAAGAAGAAAGATTATGGGAAGTACAAAGAATTTTGACAGCCCTCAAAAGGAAACTGAGAGAAGCTAAAAGACAGGTGAGTAAATTTGTCATTTTGGTATATCATGTTTATAATGGAATATAAACTGAATGTGCTGGAATTTTCTTTATATACTATTTTAAGTTAGTTCCTTTTAAAGATTTATTTATTTGACAGAGACAGACACAGCAAGAGAGGGAACACAAGCAGAGGGAGTGAGAGAGGGAGAAGCAGGCTTTCCACTGAACAGGGAGCCTGATTTGGGGCTTGATCCCAAGATTCCCGGATCACGACTTGAGCCAGAGGCAGACACTTAATAGCTGAGCCACCCGGGTGCCCCAGTTAGTTTCTTTTAAAAACACAATATATACATGTTTCCTGAAGTAAAGTTCCTGATGGGAAATTTATTTGCTTAAATGTTCCAGTTAATGATTATATACAGTTTGATACCAGGGAAATGTTTAATTTAGAAAGTTGCCTTTTTTTTTTAACCTTTTTAATTTATTTATTGATACTTCTTATGATATTGTAATCAATACTTTCATAATCTAATCAATACATATTTGGGCAGTAAGAACCTCTTGAGTGGCTCCAGTGTTCTGACATGCACTCATCAGTTTTTGAGGTTTCCTTTCTTTCTGCCACAACAGAATGTTCGAGGTTTATCTTGTATTTTCTCTAGCCCAGCCCTGCAGTTGGTTCTTTGTCCAAAGAGCCATGGTTCCTTTCAGTATTTAGAAATCAAGATCTGGGTGCTCAGGTGTGCTCACGGCTACTGTCATAGCACGGGTTTCAGGCCCTCAGTGAACACAGCTGGAGAATAAAACACACACACACACACACACACACACAGAATATGAAAGTCATGAAAGACGAAGGGTGAGGAACTATTCCACAGACCACACAGACACAACAAAGTAAAATAAGTGGACCTTGTGTTGGATCCTGGGCAGTTTGAAGAAGTGTTATGAAAGACACTTGGGATAACTGCTGAAACAGGCTGGACTAGAAAATTGGGTCAATCTTAAAATGTTCTGATTTTGATAATTAGACCGTATTAATATGAGTGTGTTTGTTGTTTAAAAAATCTACACTGAAATATTTAGGTGCATGTGCCCCTGAGTGGCGCAGTTGGTTGTGTCTGACTCTTGATTCTGGCTCAGTTTACCATTTCAGGGTTGTGAGATCAAGTGCCCTGTCAGGCTCTACACTGGGCATGGAGCCTGCTTAAGATTCTCTCTCCCTCCCTCCCCCTCTCTCTGCCCACCCCCGTTCTTTGTTAAAAACACAAAAAAAACAAAAAAAAACAAAATGTTCAAGTGCATGCTTATAGAGGAAATGTACAAACAATAATGGGGCAAAGCATCAACAACTTTTGAATCTGTGAAGCGTAATAGGGAATCACTCTTCTATTCTTGTAATTGAAGTAAACTCTGTGCCCAGCATGAGGCTTGAACTCACGACATTGAGATCCAGAGTGGCATGCTCTACCAACCGAGCTGGCCAGGTGCCCCTTGGATGTTACCAAAGTAACAAAATATAAAAAGCACCTTGTAGACTGACTAGCTGACAATGTAGGCTATTTCTGCAGGCACTGACTCAGTTCACTGAGATGACCCAGTGCTGGCCTTGTTAATGTTTGACCCATGATATTCAGTAGATAAATGTGCAAGTCATGGTTTTATCAAAGAAGAGGGACAAACATTTTCTTTTCTTTTTTTTTTTTTAAAGCTCAATTTTCTTTCTTTTTTTTTTTTTTTAAGATTTTATTTATTTATTTGACAGACAGAGAGAGAGAGAGATCACAAGTAGGCAGAGAGAGGAGGAAGCAGGCTCCCTGCTGAGCAGAGAGCCCGATGCGGGCCTCGATCCCAGGACCCTGAGATCATGACCTGAGCCGAAGGCAGAGGCTTTAACCCACTGAGCCACCCAGGCGCCCGGGACAAACATTTTCTTAAGAATAAAGCTAAAACAACCTGTATAACTTTCTTAAAGCTTTACTCCTAATGTGGGGTTTAAATGCACAGTCCGGATGGAGAGCCAGCCAGGTGCCCCTGTAGTAACATCGTTAGTGGCATCAAAGAAGCGGCGCCTGGGTGGCGTGGTCGGTTAAGCATCTGACTCTTGGTTTCGCCTCAGGTCCTGATTGCAGGGTTGTGAGATCTAGCCCCGCATCAGGCTCCAAGCTCAGCCACAGTCTGCTTAAACTCTCTCTCTCCCTTGACCCTCCTTCCCACTCTGTCTAAAATAAATAAATCTTTAATGGCATCAAAGAAAATGTATGTATAAATACCTACGTTTTGCTATAGGCAAAGGTAGTTTTGGGGGGCTAGTAACTGAAAGTAGTTTCATATAGCTGCTAAATTTCATCCTAATAGGGAATCTCTCCAGAAAGTTGTGTTTTGTTTCTTTTTAAATTAAACAGATGATTTTACTGAAAGGTGTTTTGTCATTTCCTGCTTGGTTGTACTTGTAAACAGAAGCAGTTGGATAGTGAGACATTTCAGAGACTGCTGGGGAATTGGAGGCCTTTGAGTCAGCTCTTTGGAAACACAAAGAAGTACTGAAGATTAGGAGGAGTTTTATTCACCTAATAATAGGAAGACTAGCATGTGACTCCTGATAAGGTTGGGGTGCACGAGTCAGACTTTTGGTCTCCTCAGGCTCAATGTGTGGTGCTTGGCTCTGAGCCTGTAAGTTGCTCAGCCACACTGAGGCTCAGATCTCAGATCTCTAGACTGTCTTACAGTCCGTGTGCAAATTCAGTGCCAGGCCCCAGTGTTACTTCTAGGGAACATTAGCATTCATCAGACTGGGAGAGTGTACATTTATGTGGAGTTAGCTTCATCAGAAAGGATGCATTCATGGGGTTTTTTACACATGTACTCCAGGACTGGCAGACTAGCAAAAGCCTTTGTGTATTTTTCTTCCTTATTTTCTCCTGCTTACCAGATTATCTATCTTTTGTTTCCTGTGCCTGTTGTCATTATTGTCCCCTTCATGCTTCAGCCTGGAATCAATGACTGACTGACTGACCTCATGGTTGTAATTGTGATCCATGTCCCTTTTGCCCACCAGACTCTAAATGAAGGATCTCAGACCTATGACAGGGATAATGTGTGTTTGATTTTCATTACTCTTACTTCTGCTTCTCTCTTGGAAAAAGGAGTTGTGACAGCGCATAGAAAGGGATAGATTACCTTTGTCAGTTTTCTTCATGCTGTCTTTTTATACGTGCTAATTCATTCGTAAATTTTCATGAGATTCTGTCAAGTTGATTTCAACTTTGAGGAATAAATTATTTCTATTTTTTTTATTCCCTCCCCATGCCCATCCAGGAATAAATTACTTCTAACGATAAAATAAATTTATTTTTAAAATAAAATAATAAACTTATTTTTTAAAATTATTTTTCAAAAAATATAGAAGTAATATAATTCATTATGGTAGGAAGTAAGAAAAACTACAAGATCATATCAGTAAATGCAGAAAAACATTTAGCAGAATTCAGCACTTATTCATGATAAAAGCTTTCAGCAAATGTCATTCTCAGCCTGATATAGGGTATCTGAAAAAAATCTGTGGTTAATTTTATACATAACGGTGAAAGTCTGAATGCTTTCTCCTAAGATTGGGTATATAAGGCAAGGATTTCTGCTTTCACCATTCTGTTCAGCATTTTACTGGAGGTTCATTCTAGCTAGTACAATAAAAGAAAAAAGTATACAGATTGAAAGAAAGTCTTTATATGTAGACTACATGACTGTCTACATACAAAATCCTAAGGAATTTATAAAAAACCTAATAAGTTAATTTAGCAGGGTTGTGGGTTACAAGATTAGATGCACAGTATATTATATTTCTTGAGATTAGTGAATGAGCAGTTGGATATCGGACCTAAAAAGAAAAATAAAGACCTAAATAAATAGAGTGATGCATCTCAATATTTTTAAGATGTTAGATATTCTCAAATTGATCTGTGGAGTCAGTCCCAGTCAAAATCTCAACAGGGTTTGTTTTTTTTTTTTTTTTTTTGTGGAAATTAACAGGCTTTTCTAAAATTTATATGGAAATACAAATGTTCTAAATGACTGTGGAAAAAGAACAACGTTGGAGGATTCACATTACCTGATTTTAAGATTTACTATTAAGCTACAGTAACCAAGACAGTGGATATTGGATAAAAGTAGACGTAGAATAGGAAGTCCAGAAATAGACCACACTCATATGGACAATTAATTTTCAGCAAAGAGGATAAAAGTTCTGTGGGGAGGAGCACCTTGGTGGCTCAGTCGTTAAGCGTCTGCCTTTGGCTCAGGTCATGATCCCAGGGTCTTGTGATTGAGCCCTGCATCAGGCTCCCTGCTTGGCGGGAGGCCTACTTCTCCCTCTCCCACTCTCCCTGTTTATGTTCCCTCTCTCCCTGTCTCTATCAAATTAATAAATAAAATCTTTAAAAAAAAAAAAAAAGTTCTGTGGGGAAGGATTTTCTTTTCAATAAATGGTATTGGGACAATTGGATATCTATATACCAAAAAAGAATAACTAAACAAAACCTTGACTCTTTCCACACTGCATATACAGAAATTAACTTAAAATGAGTCATACATTAAGACCTAAAAAAAAAACCAAAAACAAAACAACAACAAAAAACAAAAAAACTTCCAGAAGAAAACATAGTTTTTTGTTTTTTTTTTTTAACATAGAAGATCTTAATGACTTTGGCTTAGGCAGTGATTTCTTAAATAGGACACAATACCCATGAATTGTAAAAGAAAAATTTGTTAAGGCACCTGGGTGGCTCAGTTGGTTAAGTGTTTGCCTTCCGCTCAGGTCATGATCCCAGGGTCCTGGGATGGAGCCCCGCATCCGGTTCTCTGCTCATCGGGGAGTCTGCTTCTCCCTCTCTCTTGTGCCACCTGCCCCCCACCCCCGCCGCCCCACACTCTTGCTCATGTGCACTTTCTCTCCCTCCTCTCTCAAAAATTTGTTAGATTACACTTTATCGGCATGCTAAAACATGCTCCTCAAAAGACACCATTAAGAAAATGAATATACAAATCAGAGGCTGTGACAAAATATTCTGCAAAAACACATACCTGATAAAGGACTAGAATATATTAAAAAACTCATAAGACAGACAATTCAGGGTTTTTTAGACTTTATTTTTTTGGAAGCAGAATTAGGTTCACAGCAAAATTGAGAGGAAGGTACAGAGATTCCTGTATATATTCTGCTCTCCCTCCAGAGTATGGTACTTTTGTTACAATTAATAATTCAGTTTTAAAAAGGCTAAAAATTTTTTAAAAAGGCAAAAAAGTTGAAAAGGCACTTTACCAAAGATCATGTACAAATGGCAAATAAGCACATGCAAAGATGCTCAATATCATTAGTCATTAAAGAAATAAAAGTTGAAGTCACAATGAGGTACTACTACACACCAACGAGAATGACTAAAATTGAAAATACCGGGTATTGGGGCGCCTGGATGGCTCCATCAGTTAAACATCTTCCTCTTGATTTTTGGCTCAGGTCATGATCTCAGGGTCATGAGATTGAGCCCTGTATCAGGCTTCTAACCTGCTTAGGATTTTCTCTCTTTCCCTTTCCGTCTGCCCCTCCCCTCTGCTCTCTCCCCCTCTTTCTCCCTCTCTAGAAAAACAAGTAAAAAGAAAAAAAAAAACAAAAATCAGGTGTTGACAAGAACATGGGGCAACTGGACCTTTCATTGTTGCTCTTGGTAATGTAAAATGGTATAGTAATTTTGGAAAACAGTTTGGCAGTTTCTTTCGAAGTTAAACATATGGTTACCATATGACCAAGCAATCTCACTTTTAGGTATTTAAAAGAAGAAAGCACATACCCACACAAAACATATACGTATGAAATGTTCATAACAGTTCTAGTTAGAATAGTTCAGAATTAGGAAGGACCCAGATGTCCATCAGCTGGTGAACGGATGAACAAATTGGTGTATCATGGCATATTACTCAGCAGACTACTAATACAAACAGCAAAATAGATGAGTAGTTTAAAAAAAAACATTATTCTGTGTGAAGGAAGCCACGTATAAAAGATTTCTTATGGATCGACTCAATTTATATGAAACTCAAGAAAAAGGAAAACTATAGCAATGGAAAATATGTCAGTGGTTGTCAGGTGCCAGCAGATGGTGAAAGGTACTTTGTGTGGTGATGGGAATGTTTATATCGTGATTGTGGTGGTGGTGGTTACTTGGCTGTATTCATTTGTCAAAATTAATTGAATTGCATACTTAAAATTGACACCCTCCCCCCACAAAAGTATCACAGGATATAATTTTATATGGATGGGTTCCAGAAATGGTGAACACATTAACCAGAATTGAACACTTTCATGGTGCAGCCACAAACTGAGATCCGCATGTTATTTTCCAAGCCCAGTTAACAAATCCTCCTCTATCCAGATAGTTCACCTGGCTGTTACTGTTACTTTTTCAGCTCTAGGAAATGAGAAGGAAACTTCTAAATGGTGATGGTGTGAAATTGTTGAATATGTGTTACATTTGGGCTGACCAGTTCTTCATTTGTCTTATTTGAACAGGAATGCGAAACCAAGATTGCACAAGAGATTGCCAGTCTTTCAAAAGAGGATGTTTCCAAAGAAGAAATGAATGAAAATGAGGAAGTCATAAATATTCTCCTTGCTCAGGTAAGCTAACCTTCTTCTTCCGTTTTTCAAAATCCTTTTTAAAAAATAAAAATTGTACATATTTAAAGTGTACAGCATGATGATTTAATAGACCTATACATAGAGAAATGATTACTACAATAAAGCTTGTTAACATTGTCTTCTCATCTAACTACTTTTTTCTTTTGTGATGGGAGCACCTGAAATCCATTCCTTTAGTGTATTTCCAGAGATCTAGATACTGTAGATCTCTAGACTTACTTGTCCTTTGTAATTGCAACTTTGTATCTTTTGACCAGTATCTCCTCATCTTCTCTATCTCCCAGCCTCTGGTAATCACTGTTTCTGATTAAAAAAGTTCTACTTTTTTTTTCTTAAATTCCACCTAGAAGTGAGATCATACAGTCTGTCTTTCTCTGGCTTTTTTCATTTAGCATCATGTCCACCAGGTTTATCCATGTTATCCTAAAATGGCAGGGTTTCCTTCTCTCAGTGCTGAATAATACTCCAGTGTGTGTGTCTGTACACACCCACATCTTTATCCATTTGTGCATTGACCACTGAGTTGTTTTCATCTTTTGACTATTGTGAATAATGCTGTAGTGAACATGGCAGTGCAGGTATCTTTTCAGTATCCTTTTCATTTTCTTAGGGTTTGAACCCAGAGATGGAATTGCTGGATCTTATGGTAGTTTTTTTTTGTTTGTTTTTTTTGATGAACCTCCATTCTGTTTGCCGTAATGGCTGCCTTCAGTTTACATTTCCATAATAGTGTATGAGTTCCATGCCAATGGGTTTTTTTTGTTTTGTTTTGTTTTGTTTTGTTTTTTTAAATAGTCATCCTAACAGTTGTGAGGTAATATCTCATTGTGGTTTTGATTTTCATTTTCCTGATAAGTTATGTTGAGCATCTTTTGATATATCTGCTGGTGATTTGTAGATCTTCTGTTTAGAAATGTCTGTTCAGATCCTTTGCCGTTTTTGAGTTGGGTTGGTTGTGTTCTACCTGTTGAATTGGTTGCATTCCTTAGAAATTTGGGAATATTTCATCCCTTACCTGATGCGTGGTTTGCAAATATTTTCACATATCCCATAGGTTGTCTTCTTACTCTTTTGACTTTTTCCTTTGCTTTTTAGTTTGATGCCATCCCATTTGTCTATTTTTTGCTTTAGTTGCCTGCTTTTGGGGGTCATATCTAAAAATTCATTGCCTAGACCAGTGTTTTTTCTGAAAAACCTACATTTTTTTCTAATAGTTAAATAGTTTAGGTCTTATATTTAAATCTTTAATTCATTATGAATTTACTTATACATATGGAATGAGGTAAGTGTCCAGTTTTATTCTTTTGCATGTGGAAGACAAGTTTCCCTACACCATTTATTGAAGGGATGGTCCTTTCCCTATACGTGTTCTTGGCACTTTGCAAAGATGAGTTGGCCGTAAATGTGTGGATTTATTTTTGGCTCTCTGTTCCACTCTGTTGCTATTTCACCAGTAATATACTGTTTTATTAAATAAAGCTTTTGAAATCCGTATACTTTGAAATCAGGTAGTGTGATGCCTCCAACTTTGTTCCTTTTGTTCAGGATTGCTTTGATACTAACAGCCTGTTTTGGTTCTGTATAAATTTTAGGATTGTTTTTTCCTATTTCTGTGAAAAACACCACTGGAATTTTGAATCTCTAGATCTCTTTGGGTAATATAAACATTTTAACAATATTATTTCTTCTGATCTATGAACATGGGATATTTTTCCATGTATTTGTATCTTCAGTTTTTTCACCAATGTTTTAGTTTAAATAGATCTTTTACTTCTTTGGTTAAATTTATTCAAAATATTTTATTTTCTGATGCTATTGTAAATGGGATTTTCTTAATTTCTTTTTCAGATAGTTTGCTAGTATACAAAAATACAACGGATTTTTGTATGTTGATTTTATATTCTGTAACTTTACTGAATGGGTTTAACAGGTTTTTTTTTTTTTTTGGTAGCATCTTTAGGGTTTTCTATATATGAGATCACGTAGTCTGCAAACAGAGACAATTTTACTTCTTTCCAATTTGGATACCTTTTATTTCTTTTCCTTGTCTAATTACTCTAATTAGGACTTCCAGTAGTAAATAGTAAATAGAAGTGAGAGTGGGCATAATTGTGTTGTTCCTGATCTTAGAGGAAATGCTTTTAACCTTTAACTCTTGAGTATGATGTTACTTGTGGGCTTGCCAAATGTGGCTTTTATTACGATGATCTGTTCCTTCTATACCCACTTTGTTAAGACTTTTTATAATGAGAGGAAAAGCTTTAATTTTGTCCAATGCTTTTTGGCATCTGCTGAGATTATGATCATAGGATTTTTCATCTTTCACTCTGTCAGTGTGGTGTATCCCATTTATTGATTTGCATGTGTTGAACTATCCTTGCTCTCCAGAGATAAATCCCACTTGATCATGCTGTGTGATCTTTTTAATGTGTTGTTGAATTTGGTTTGCCGGTGTGTGTGAAGGATTTTTGCATCTGTTCATCAGCGGTGCCAGCCTGTTACTTTTGTGTAGTGTCTTTGGCTCTGGGACGAGGGTAATGCTGGCCTTGGAAAAAGAGGGTTGGGAGCATTTTTAAGTTTTCTTGGAAGAGTTTGAAAAGGATTGGAATTATTTCTTTAGATATTTGGTAGAATTCACTTGTGAAGCCATCTGGCCCTGGCTTTTGCTTGGTTAGGCAATTTTTGATTATTGAGTCAGTCTTTGTATTGCTCTGTTCAGATACTCAGTCTTTTTGATTCAGTCTTGGTAGGTAATACGTTTCTAAGAACATTCCCTTCTCTTCCAGGTTATCCAGTTTGTTGGTGTAGAAATGCTTATAGTAGTCTCTTACAATGTTCTATATTTCCGAGGTATCAATTGTAATGTTTCCTCTTTGATTTATGGTTTTGAGTTCTTTTAGTCTAGCTACAGGTGTGCTATTATTTTTTTTTTTTTTTCGAAAAACCAACTCTTAGTTTTATTGATCTTTTATATTGATTTTCTAGTCTCTATTTCATTTATTTCTGCTCTGATCTGTATCATTTCCTCCCTTCCACTAATTTTAGGGTTAGTTCTATTTCTAGTTCCTTGAGGTGTAGGGATAGGTTGTTTCAGGGCTTTTTTCTTGGTGAGGGCATTTGTACCATAAACTTCCCTCTTCGAGTTGGTTTTGCTGGATCTCATACTTTGGACACGTTGTGTTTCCACTTTGATTCATTACTAGATAATTAGATTTCGTCTTTGACCTGTTGCTTGCTCAGGAGTGTGTTTCAAGACTCTTAATGGTCGTCATATATTAAATTTGAGAAGCTCAACTACAGAGGTGTGAATCTTATAAAAAAAAGTTGTAAGATGATTTGGTAGCCTGAGAGGGATCATGCCTATTGTATTTGTTCTTACCTTTATGTGGCGTTTCCTTAAGTGTTCTGCTGGAGAAAGAAACTACCTTCTGCTGATTACTTTTTACTGGACACTGTTCTAGGTGCTTAATCTTTTTTTTTTTTTTTAAGATTTTATTTATTTATTTGACAGACAGAGATCACAAATAGGCAGAGAGGCAGGCAGAGAGAGAGAGGAGGAAGCAGGCTCCCTGCTGAGCAGAGAGCCCAATGAGGGGCTCCATCCCAGGATCCTGGGATCATGACCTGAGCTGAAGGCAGAGGCTTTAACCTACTGAGCCACTCAGGTGTCCCCTAGGTGCTTAATCTTATCTTATCCACACACAGGTCAGAGTTATATGTGTTTTCCCCAACTTACAGATTAGTTGTACTTCTTCCATATTAATGAGATTGGACTTTAATAGTTCTTCCTGACCACAAAGTTTGGGATTCTTAAAATGTAATATACAGATTTTTTTTTTTTTAAAGATTTTATTTGACAGAGAGAGAGAGAAAAAGAGAGAGCATAAGCAGGGGGAGAGGCAGAGGGAGAGGGAGGAGGAGGCTCCCTGCAGAGCAAGGGAAGTCTGACATGGGACTTGATCCTAGGACTCCAGGATCATGACCCAAGCCTAAGGCAGTGCCTTAACCAACTGAGCCACCAAGGCGCCCCATCACAGAACAGATTTTATCTGATTGTTGTTGCTGATAATATGTTAAGATATTTTGATTTTATTCTTTGTGGTTGAAAGTTGTTGGAGATAACTTGTTTTGTTTTTCATTGATTTGACAAATAGTTCTTTAGTATCTGTTGTTCTAGGTGTAGAGCTGAAGGTGAGCTCCTTTCTTTCCCTCTGAACTTCTTTAGTCAACCTTACTCTGTTCTGGAATCTTCTAGAGTTTAACCAGAAATGAATGAAATTCTAGGCTCTGACAGCAGAGTCTATACTCCCAGAAATCCATGAATGTGGGATACCTAAAGCCAGGCAAGTTCTAGGCCTTTTCTGTCACTTGAGAAAGACCATGTTTTGCCTGTCAGGGACACATAGCTCTTCCCCTGAAGGCAAGATGAGCTTCCAGATTATGTCTTTATTTCAAGCTTTTCCAATCTGATATTTCTCAGCACATTAGTTTTACTAGGTGCACTGTGGTAAAGGGAAGGCATCTGTGTTTAGAAACCCATGGGGAAGGAACACTGCATATTCCATCTCCCAAGAGCTCACTCATGCTTGCCAGAGGCTTTGAATGGTTCCCTCTAGAATCTGACGACAGTGTCTTTCAGGTTTGATCACAGGTGCTTATCCTCTAGATACCTAGGAGTTGGGAAGGAAATGCTGTAGACCCTTGTTCTCATAGCCATACATTTCTGCTTCTGACATTCTGGTTTGGTTCTTTTTTCTAGGTTGGAGGGGTTGGGTAGATCTTCCTTCCCCTCACTTTGGTGATTCAGTTTTAGAAATGCATATTCTGGGGGCGCCTGGGTGGCTCAGTGGGTTAAAGCCTCTACCTTCAGCTCAGGTCATGATCCCAGGGTCCTTGGATCGAGCCCCACATCGGGCTCTTTGCTTCTTGGGCAGCCTGCTTCCTCCTCTCTCTACCTGCCTCTCTGCCTACTTGTGATCTTTGTCTGTCAAATAAATAAATAAAAAAAAATGCATATTCTGTGAAAGCACAATGTTTGCTGTTTATCATCTCTGGGGACATGCGTTGAGGAGGATGGTAGCTTTTGGTGAGGAGAAAAGATTTCTTCTGGGAACATCTTGCCTTTACTAGATCTGCTTTAAGGTAATACTGACATCAGCTCTGTATTTCCTGGGTCCTTATCCCAGTGCACGGTCAAGGGCCATCTTGACCCTGAAACAGAAACTCCCTTTACTGAGAGGCGGGAAGGTGTTCAGAAGGGACTGAGAATCAAAAACAGACATAGTCACTTGACCTTTGGCTTTGTGCCCAGTGTGATGGCCTCATAGGGAACTTTTGCAAAATGAGGACATGGGATTCCTAGGAGGCATTTTATGTCTTGAGAAAAATCTAGACATTCCTCCCAGAGAGCCTTTTCTCAGAAAGCCTTAACATTAAGGAAACAGGATACAAGCTTTGCAGTCCAAGCTTTCCCATAACTTGTGTTATGTATGTATAGGGCTAAAGAATTCAAGGGAACAATGTCCCAGAAAAGTGATTTTTCCTAGACTCATACTTTCAAAGGTATTCACCAGTGGTCTTTATTTCAGGAGAATGAGATCCTGACTGAACAGGAGGAGCTTCTAGCCATGGAGCAGTTTCTGCGCCGACAGATTGCCTCAGAAAAAGAAGAGATCGAACGCCTCAGAGCCGAGATTGCTGAAATTCAGAGGTAAAGGAAAGCAGAGGGTTTTAAGTTTACAAGAATATTTAGTTAAATATAAACATAAAATTGTTTTAGCTCTCAGACGTTCATGCAAAAGAACTAGGCATCCAAATCAGTCATCTTTAAGTTTCTCTTTGTTTTTAAAATTGGGGGTGAGGGGAGAGGGGGAGAGACTCTAAAGTAGACTCTGCAGAGCATGGAGCACAAGCAGGGTCGAGTCCGTGACCCTAGGATCATGACCTGAGCTGAAACCAAGAGTCGGCGCTCCACTGACTGACCACCCACGCGCCCCTAAGTTTTTTCTTTTCTTTTTTTTTTTTAAAAGATTTTATTTATTTATTTGACAGAGATCACAAGTAAGCAGGGGCGGGGGTGGGGAGCAGGCTTCCTGCTGAGCAGGACCCACCCCCCCACCCCCCGTGTGGGGCTTGATCCCAGGACCCTGAGATCATGACCTGAGCTGAAGGCAGAGGCTCAACCCACTGAGCCACCCAGCCCCCCCGCCCAGGTTTCTTCTTGATTAAGCCTTAAGAATGGTGCTATATTAAGCTGATTCATGAAAACCTGGTGAATCTAAAAGAAGGGTAGGAAGGAAGCAGCATTCCTTCCTCTGCTCACTGTCCTTTTCTCTTGATCTCCCACCCGCAGCCGTCAGCAGCATGGCCGCAGTGAGACCGAGGAGTACTCCTCGGACAGTGAGAGTGAGAGTGAGGACGAAGAGGAGCTTCAGATCATCCTGGAGGACTTACAGAGGCAGAATGAAGAACTAGAAGTGAGCACCAGCTTCCCAAAACTTGTAGAGGTCACCTCTTTCCCTTAGAAGTCGTCTTTTCCTTGGGAAACAGCGGGGAGGCTGAGTAGAGAGGAGTTTAGGGGACATCTCACCAGTGTGTGCAGGGCGTGAGCTGGTCCTGGCCGAGCACACAGCACAGGTGACACCTCACCAGGCATCCCTGGGTGTGGTGACTCCCGCTTACGGGGAAGCCTCGCCTGACTGTCCTTGAACAGTTGTGGAAGATCTGGGCTAACTTCCCAGAGATGAACAGAAAGAGAAATGCTGGTGGAAGAAGGAAGAGTCGCCTGACTCACCTGTGGGTAAAATGGGGACAAAGTTTTCTCTCGTCCCTCAACCCTTGAAGCAGCCAGTGTGAATAAATTTGGCACTGGGGATCTGGGAGGCAAGCTCATGGTGAAATGAAAGCAACAGATTTACATGATCCTGATCAGAATTTCCCTTCTTACCCCAGATTAATCATTGTCTCCGGATGTTTTACCTCAGGGTTGAGAGAAAGCCATTCTTGTCTTAGATTCCAAGAATGGTGGGGTAACTTTCTCTCATCCCGGTACATTCAGCAGCTGGGGCAGATCAGAGCCACCCACTGCATAGAAAACTAGAATTCCACAGAAAACAGTAAGTCTTACGGACAGAGTTGAGACGGGGCAGCCCACCGAGGCTCCAGGCTCAGAACACTTGTCATAGCCAGGGCTGTGTTGTGGGAAAAGCAGAGCCACGGTTGGGACCTGGGCCTACATGTAGCTTCCCATCTTTAGAAGGGCATCGTGTTGGCACTTTATTTTGCTTTCTTAACGTTTTACAGATCATATGAAAATCCTAAGTAGGAAAACATTCCAGAATTGTAGTACTTAGGGTACAGGCTTAGCTGCTTTAATGAAGAGAATCCTCTTCCGTTTTGGAACAAGACAGTTCTGTGCCTTGCCTGGCAGACGTCTAGGTCGCCCACCCTCCACACGAGTGGAAGACACGTGGGGTCCAGAGTAGCCCCTTAGGCTTTATCCACTCTTAGCAGGAACAGGGAAGGAACCCAAGAACGCCTGGTGGTTAAGGGCAAGCAGCGCCTTACCGACGTGACCGACCCTGTCAGAGGCGCGCGGCGCCCAGCTACAGCTGGCTGCAGGGGAGGCTGGGACACATGTGCTGCGGGTGAAGGCCCCTGCCGAGCCATAGGCGCTAGCCCGCCGCCTCGGGAGCTCAGCGGAGTTTGGGATTAGCTCCCTCGGCTTTGCTGAAGGAGTGAAGCCTGTAGAACCGATAGCGTTCTTGTTTGCCCAAGTAGCACAGGACATGTGTGAAGTGATGCCGTTCACAACAGACAAGGGCATCTGCTTTTGAGACAAGTCTCGGATTTCCTCCTGTCTCTGACTTGTCACTTCTGATGGCTGGTAAAGTCACTTCTATCTTCCACTTACCTAGGGGGTGGTCAGGAGCCAGTTTAAAACAAACCATTTTAAACACTAAAATACTTAAGATCATTAAGCAAGTTGTTTTCTGTTGTTGGATGTGTCTTTTCCAGATGTGTTTACTCTTCTGTAAGGAGGATTTTGTGCATTCCGGGTCAAGGTGTTTATTGTCTCATTTGCATATTCGTGTTCTCCCTGTTTCACAAGTTGACTAAAACAGAAATAGATTCTTGTGTAGGATGCCCTTGTTCCTCGGTGTCGCTCTTCCCTTGAGTGACAACTGTTCCTTTGTCATTCCTCAAGATAAAGAACAATCATTTGAATCAAGCGATTCACGAAGAGCGGGAGGCCATCATCGAACTGCGGGTGCAGCTGCGCCTGCTCCAGCTGCAGCGAGCCAAGCCCGAACCGCAGGTGCAGGAGGACGACGAGCCCGAGAGGCGTGGCGGCGCCGGACAGCCGCCCAGAGACAGCGGCCCGGAGACAAAAGCAGCTAAGGAGCAGCCAAAGGCAGGCAAGGAGCAGGCCAAGCCATCCCCGAGCAGAGACAGGAAGGAGACGCCCATCTGAGCAGCCCCAGCGTCACAGGATCCCCAGACCCGACGAGACCCGTGCATCTTACTGTAACCCTGAGAGTCGGAGTGGACACCGCTCTGCTGTACGTTCTGTAAAGATGTCTTTTCTTCTTAGACTCTTCTTTTCACACGTGTGACTTCTCCGCGGCAGGCTCAGGTTACACGGGAGGACAAAGCAGTGCACGCGGTGTGGGCTTGTAGGGGACAGATGAGTTTTCCAGATAGTGTCAGCTTATTTGAAGATTAATTAATTTTCTTTGTTAACTTAAAACTTTTAACCCTTGAGTGGCTTCTTTTGAAACCAAAAATCGTCTTTCTTTGCTTTTTTATTACAGCAGAATCAGGATCTCTTTCTGTCGTTCAGTGGGGGGAAGCCAAACAAGGTGAACACTGTTCCTGCCTTGTGGATTGCCCCCCAGTCTCACCCTCCGGGATCTCTGCTTACTAGTCACTCTTGCTCGTGCCTTTTACACCTTTTCGGTGCAGATTATATAATGGGGAGCTGCCTCATTTATCTCCTAATGGGCCAGAACGGCTCTTACTGAGGTTAACCTTTACCCACCCTTGTCACTCTCTCCTTTGATGGTCCTAAACCCCAGTCCACGAGCCTGAGTCACAGGATGGCCTAGCCAGTCCCAGACAGAGCTGCCGGCGGAGCCTGCCCACTGGCCCCGGGGCAGCCGCCTCGCTCCTGTGGGCTCCTCGCTGCTGGTGATCAGCGCCTGTTTTCATTGGGTTGGTCGCAGGTAGCTGCCTGGCCTGAGGCATCCACACTGAGGAGCTGTTTCTGAACCCAGAAATAATCTGTGTGACTGATCTGCCGTTAACACAGAATGAGATTGCTTGCTTGGGCTAGAATGTAAAAGTCTCTTTGCCTGAATAAGCCATATATGCTCTTAGACAAAAGTTTTCAGTGACCTGTTTCATCTCAGTGAACCTGCTGATGGACTCCCAATTGAGAAGATTGAGCAATAGAAAAAGAAAACTTTTCCTTTAAATGACTAGCTGTGATCCCCGACCCTGTTTTCTTGCTTCTGCAACTTCTCTGGTGACTGAGGCATCTGGGAGGTCCGCCCTCAGGCACCCTTGTCCAGTCACGCTCTGTCGGAATCAGTGGCACCCATGAGGTAGGTCAGCTTTCACGGCTGTGAAGACAGACCCCACACACTCAAGGTGATGGAAACAAACCCCCCACGAGGGCTCTGTCCTCTCTTAGTTCCTATTTATTTTCAGCACCTGTTTGATGCGGTTTTTTATTCTCTACCTATTGCACTGTTGTGACTTGTTGGCCATTGTTTGATTTTTGTACGAAAAAAAGCTTTGTTATAGAAATCAGCATACTATTTTTTTAAATCTGGAGAGAAGATATTATGGTGACTGAAAATATGGTCAGGTGTCAAATATAAACGTATAAAAGCCTTCTTGCTGTCCCGTCGGTCATATTACATTCATTTCATTTGCTGGCAATATTGAAGATTCCTTTTTTTGTTTGTGTAAACTCTAATTTCTATCAAGGTGTCATGGATTTTTAAAATTAGTATTTCATTACAGTTGTCTCAGCGTTGGTTAATTTTTGCCAGGACCGTTATTGATCAAGCAAATAAATTCAACAGCCATTTGAGGAAAAAAAAAAAAAAAAACTACCAAACTCAGCGTCTTACTTTCTTTTTTTTGTATACGTTCTTTCTTGAAGTAGTTAGCATCCTGTGGCTGACCCGGAGTTGGTTTGATATTTACAGTCCAAGAGTGCCCTAACCTTTTGTTTTAACTCGCTGTCTGCTCCTCACCTCGGTGGACTTTGTGCTCGTTGCTGGTGGCAAGGTTTGCTGTCCTTCTTCCCCACGTAGGTGCTTGCTGCTGAGGGAGCATGTGATCGTGCGGCCCAGCTGCCTGGGATCGGGGCTGCGGCTTCTTTGTGCGTGATGGCCTGCTTCAGTGCAAAGTGCCCTTCAAAACGAAGCACAGGTCAGACAGCCCAACTTGGCAAAAGAAGAGGTCGGTTATTACAAAGTCACTTACTTTAGGGGCTGATGGGTCTGTCAGGCAGATTAACTAGCGTGGATTGGGTGAGTCCTGATGAAGATTCCATTGCCTGGAGCCTCGAAGCTATAACTAAGTTGTGTTTGCTGACATGGGGCTTAACATAAGTGACCCTGTGTTGGGCCTCTTGTTTCTAACACTAACCCCCCTTTTGCTGAGACTCTCAGCCTTGAGAGATGGGATCAAAACTTAAGGCATTCGTGCTCCTCTCTGCTCCCATTCTGGTGTTTTTGCAGTTTTCTCCCAGTGTTGGGTTCACATTCTTTAATTTGGTCAATCTCTGTTCCTTTTCTGATGCTGTATTAGGGAGATCATTTGCATCCTGGTAAGTGGCAGCATACATGGATTTAAAGCTTCTGAGAGATTCAGACCAGGGAGCTATTAGGGCTATAAGCAGGATAAATCCCAGTGTCTGGAGTGTGCTCCAGAGCCATGGTCCCCAAGACCCACATCAGTCAACAAAGGCCCTGTTTGAAGGAGTCACTTATGCCAACTGGTGTGTTCACAGATCTTAGCTGAGTCCCCAGGTGGTGCACAGGTGTCTCCCGAGTGCAGCAAGTGGCACCGGCCACAGCACAGACACCTCCTTGCTCAGCTGACAGGTAACCAAGGGCCTTCCTGGTATCAGGAATCTCTCTGGTGGGAGAGCTGAGGGTCTGCTTGCCGCTGTGGGGCAGCTGTTGCTGTAGCAGCAGATTCTTCAGGACCTGCAGGGGCTGAGGAGACGTTCTGATCACCGCATTTGCACTCATGCTTAGCCAGGTGAAGAGCAGAATCTGTTGAAGTGAATCTGGAATCATGAAGGCTTCCTGGGAAATCTGGTCTGCATCTGTGGCTTGGGGCCAGGCAGCTGACAGCCACGGAGGCCAGTACAATTTCAGGACCTATGGACTGCATGGGTGGTTGTATTCTGGGTAGCTTCTCGTATGTTTCTTGGCTCCGAGCCTGGATTCAAGGTTCCCCAGGTTTGGGGTTAACTGGAGAGCGAGGGATTGACCCGAGGGTTAGGGAGCCTGATAGGACTAAGAGCTGAACTTGTTCCAAAGAAACTAAGGGATTGGAAATCAGAAGCTTGTGATAGACACAACTATGGGATCACCAGCATTGTAATAAATCCAACAGATGTTTAGATGCCGATGACCTGCTTGAGGTATGTGAACAAGGTAGTTTCTGGGCCAAAGGCAAGGCAAAGGTGAACAGAAGAATCCTAAAGACCTTCATGGTGTAAGAATTAGGGAAAAGATGGTCAGAGAAGGAAGGAATAGAAAGAAACATTCTTGGCCCCACGTCTTAGGAGAAAGCCATCTACCTCAATGTTGGCTGCTTTTTTTCCTGGTCTCTCTCTTTTAAGATCTCTGGCCATTTGCACAGGCCTAGATGTCAGGTGGAGCCATCTTCAGTGCAAAATCTCCACCGAGGGTTTAATACCTTGTAACTCGGCAACAGTGTCAGTAGTCAGAGTACTTGGTAGGGTCCTTTCCTCGAATCTCACTTTCACAAAAGCATCAGGGTAAAGCAACTGTCTGTAAATGATAAGACTTTAAAAATGCCCATGGTTAATAATCTGATGAGTTCTTCGTAGAAGGAAATGTAGTTATTTCATCATTTAAGGTAATTGGACAATGAGAATTTTGACAAGTACCTAGAAATTGCAATTTCTGGATTACTTATGTTAGTAATATATATCCGTACACATATAACCTAAGGGTTATCTATTTGACAGAGCGAGTGAGTGAGCAGTAGGGGGAGCAGGAGGCAGAGGGAGAGGGAGAGAGAGAAGCAGCCTCCCCCCTGAGCAGGGAGCCTGATGCGGGGGCTCGATGCAGGACCCTGGGGTCATGACCTGAGCTGAAGGCAGATGCCCAACCGACTGAGCCACCCAGGCGCCCCATCATATAGCCGAAGGTTTACTGTACACATATAATCTAAGCATTTAACAATGCTTCCCACATATTTTAACTTGTTAAATTAATGAAAGACAGCCTTTGAGATTTTCCAGGGGCCCTCTGGGAAATCTTGAAGTTAGTTTGAGGTAAAAAAACAAAACAAAACAAAAAAAAAAACCAACAACAAAAAACTATTGAGAATTTTAAGAAAATGTCAAAAGTTTGATTAAATAGGATGACAGGTATAATTACAAAATAATTATCTAGTGCAAGTCACAATAGAAGAGATACTGAGGTAAATATAGGCGGTTTATATAGTTGTGAACAGAAAACTCTCAATATCGTGAAGACTGGGTTTTCTTAATCAGATACCTGATAAAAACAGTGTAAAGTGAGTAAGTAATATGGGGAAGAAGAACATCATTGCTGTCCAAAGGTCAAACAAAACAAGACAAAAAACCCCACAAGATCACCTTTGCAATTTCTTATTAGGAGCAGAACAATCATCTAAGAGAACTTTGTCCTTCTAACAGAGAAAACCAAATTCTGATTTTTATATCTGTATTTTTGATACTAAAATGGTTTTTTTTCCTAAAACACATTTTTAATGCATTTATATTCCAATATAGATTCAATCTTTATTCTTTAATCTATATTCCAGTCTCAGCCAGCTTCACTACACTTAAATTACTTTCCCAAGATTCCTTATCCACAAATTTTCTACAAGTTTTTTCTGTCCAGATTTTGTCCTGGGTTTTCTCCTTAATTGTGGAAAATTTAGCCAATCATTTTACTTTCCTTATCTACTTTCCATACACAGGTGTTTCCTTTCACCTCCCCCCAACTTTGAGAGAGAGTTGGGGGGAAGGGAGAATGGGAGGGTAGAGGGAGAGAGGTTGTGGGGCAGAATCTTAAGCAGGCTCAACAAGGCAGGGCACGACCTAAGCAGAAATCCAGAGTCTGGTGCTTAATAACTGACTGAGCCACCCACGTGCCCCCACCCGTATTATTTCTAAGAAGCTTTTGTCACTACGCATTAAAATTTGTCACCTTCACGATCCTTGCTTCCTAGTGAAAACAGAGAAGTAAACAATTGGAGACTCCTAAGCTAGGAGTCCGTGGATTGGCAGATTTATAGACACATTTTCATGGTTC